GGGTGCCAGGCCGAAAACGGGATGCAGCCGAAACAGCAAAAGATAGACCAGGGATCGAGCCCTGGCGAAGTCCGTAACAGACACGGTGCCTGGGGGACGGATGCGGCCACACCTCTTCTCCCAATAAGTTCTGATTTGCCGCACCGACGACGAAAACGATCGCAGGACAGAACGTTCTTCCCTTGTGTTGTCGAATGCCGAGACATACGGATATCCTCTCTTTGTGTTGTCGTCAAAGTAGACAACACCCACGTGAGAATATGACCTCAAACCGTATCTTTTCTCGGCCGGTGACTTGTCCACTATGAGTCTGTTCATAGCCTCAGCCGTGTGCTGGCCGGCAACAGCATACCAGTGGTACGTATGCGCCTCCTCGACGTCGAATTCCTGTGGTGTGATCCGTCTTCCTTGAGAGCCGTCCCGGCTGGGCACAATGGGGGCCAGGATGAAAGTCATGAAATCCCACTTACCGTTGGTTTCCTTGGCCGCATTATGGATCGCATCGTATATGGACTGCACCAATGTTTCGTCCAACGTTCTGTGGTTGTAGAGGATGTCACCTTCCGGAATTGGCAAGATCTTCGTTACATCCACTTGAATGTGTACCCGATCCTTCCTCGCGTAGCCATCTTCATCGAACTCCAAGAAGAAGCATTTTGTTGTGTCCACTGTGGCAGATCGATTGTCAGAGGAACGCTCTGTCTGTTCGGACGGAGCCCTAGGAGCAACCCCTTCGGCGTCTTCTCCGGAGTCACCCTCGTCGACCATCTGCTTTCTTTTCATCGGACGTTTCTCCGCTTTTGTCGCTCTAGTTGACGCCTTCCGTTTTCTGTTCTTCACGCTATCAGTGGCCGCCTCTTGAGAAGCTCTTAGTGCCTCTCGAGATACAGCGACTGTGAGTCTCTTGGGAACGCGTTTATCCGCCGCCCCCGTCGGACTTGTTGAAGATCGCCGCTTCCTTTTCTGCACACTGCCCTCCGACTGATCTCCTGCTCCCTCATCGACCTCCATATCATCGGACCCTTCCTCCCCTCCATCCTCATCATCGGCAAGGCAGTCTTCATCGTTTTCCCCACCGTCCCCATAGTCGCCCCCATCGAACTGTCGAGACTCTCCATCCTCGCAGTCGGGCAGAGAGTCCTCACGCTCCTCGCCCTCTCTCTCTCGATCGCTTATGTCCTCGTTGGCATCGTCCTCTTGGACCCCACATTGCTCATCATCGACGGCAAGATTACCCTGCGCGTTCCGCTCGACATGAATCTTGGAATCGTTCTCCGTTTCTTCGTCTGATCCCTCGCTCCTCTCCCGCATGACTGCCCTTCTGGACGCACCTCCATCGCCCTCCTGGCGATCAGGAGGCCGACAACCTGCCGATCCCTTCCTTGAGGATGTGACGACAGGGGTGCCTCCGCGTTGTTGGGCGGACTGCCGAGACGGTCCTGCACATTCCTTCAAGCGGGCCGATTCGACAGAAGGACCTCGCGCCCCTTCCTCGGTGTGATGACGAGGCTGGCTCTGTTTTTTTCGACGCCGGCTTCCACCACCTGAGGTCTGTTGCGTTGGAAAACAATCCGCCGAACTCTGTCTCACTCTCTTCGCTATATCCGGGAGATCCTCGCCCGGCGTGTCAAAAGGCACGAGCGTCGAAGACATTCGATGCCCGGCCTGTACGATGGGACTGTTTCCGGATCGCCTGTACCCGTTTGTTTTGGCGAGGAATTTCACGGGGTCAAGCATCGTCAACGCGCTCCCGTCTTCCTTCGGGGATACATCGAACGCTCGCATGGTAATCGCCTTAGCTCCATACCCCTTGAATAAATTGTAGTCAAGGCTGACCTTATGGTCAACCTTAGCGTGATCCACTCCGTGTTCTTCAAACACTGTCGTGAGGAAGAACCTCCTGAACTTCCGCCCGTGCCCGTCCGCCCTCTCATCCTTGGATCTTATGATCCCTCCAAGACAGAACCAGTCGTCGGCCGCGACGTTCTTCAGGAACACAGCGGCCCCACATCCCGCCTCGTGCAGGCCCCCCACCCAATCAAGAGCCCACTCCTTATCTCTATACATCGAGGAGGTCTTATAGACCCTCTTTTCCGGTACGCCAGATGCTCCTCCTGACGGTTGGCACAATCCGAACAGTAGAAGGCAAGGCATTCAGTTATCAAACCTTTCTCTATCGGATCACGCTTCGAAAAGCCTCACCCCCTCCGAGTGCGTAGATGTGAAGCCTAAGGGGACGCTCACCCCCTTCTGTTGGGCACGACGTTCTGATAACCCCGAACCCCCTCTCTCTCTCCCGGCCGAGAGGGAGCGGGGGTGCGGCGTTCTGGAAACGCCGTACCCCTACTCCGGGTGTGCACGCCAGAGGAGGAACGTTCCCGGAACGCCGTACCCCCGAGTCCCCTGCCCAAAGACATGGGGCGGTGGTACGGCGTTCGGGGAACGCCATACCCTCTCCGAGGTCCGCAGCCCGGAGGGGGGAACGCCGTACCCCCGCTCCCTCTCCCCAAAGAGATGGTGCGGGGGTACGACGTTCCCGGAACGCCGTACCCCCTTCCTCTGCCAGCAGAGATGGGCCGGGGATACGGCTTTCCGGGAACGCCGTACCCCCTCCGGGCTGCGGACCTCGGAGGGGCTACGGCGTTCCCCGAACACCGTATCACCACCCCATCTCTTTGGGCAGGGGATGCGGGGTACGGCATTCCAGGAACGCCGTACCCCCTCCGGGCTGCGGACCCCGGAGGGGGTACGGCGTTCCCCGAACGCTGTACCACCACCCCATCTCTTTGGGCAGGCGATTCGGGGGTACGGCGTTCCGGGAACGCCGTACCCCCTCCAGGCTGCGGACCCCGGAGGGGGTACGGCGTTCCCCGAACGCCGTACCACCGCCCCATGTCTTTGGGCAGGGGATGCGGGGGTACAGCGTTCCGGGAACGCCGTACCCCCTCCAGGCTGGCGAGCACACATAACCAAAGCCTATGGGAAGTGACAGTCACCAATGTACCAATCAAGGAGAGCCTTTTCATTAATTTTTCGAAAAAAAAAGGTGGGGGGAGATCGCGATTCTCCCCACACCCAGTATTGCGAGCATACATAACCCAAGGCTATGGGAAGTGATAGTCACCAATATACCAATCAACGAGAGTTTTTTTCACTGATTTTTCGAAAAAAAAAAGGGTCACCCAGTATGGCGAGCATACATAACCCAGGGCTATGGGAAGTGAGTATCACCAATGTAGCAATCAACGAGAGATTTTTTAGCTGCTTTTTCGAAAAACAAAAGGTGGGGGGAGATCGCGAATC